TCAGGAAGTGGGAAGTTCTAAGCCAGTGGCTCCACGATCATCAGAGACAGAGTTTCTTCCATTTGTGATGCCTCACCATCCTCATGGGCACCAGGGTCCAAGATGGCTGCTTGAGCTTCAGCTATCACCTCTGTATTCCAGACAGCAAGAAGCACGGGAGTAAGGACATGCCCCTTCTCCTCCCATCCTATGAGCCGGAACTTCTTTCCATGGCTTCTCCTAGAGCGGGCTGTGGGATTTCTGAGTGGAGTGGTCTGCGGCAGTCGTCTGCATGTCTGGGGCTCTGGGGGGAGGACTGAGTTGGGATTCAGTGTGGGGTTTCATCAACGTAAATAAAGTGGCGGCTCTGGGCATGGCTGGATTGCCCAAGGACAGTGTGCACCGTGAGGACAGAGCCCCACGAAGGCTTGGCAACAAGGATGGGCAGAGAAAATGAAGTCTGCGATGAAGGGGTCAAACAAGGAGAGCACAGTCTCAAGGAGGAAAATCTGCAATCAATAGTGCCTGCTGTTAAAAGTGAGGTTACTTAGGAGTGAGGTCATGGGAAATGCCAGACAAGGAGCTCCAAGAATCGTTCCCTCCACTTACGCTACCCTTTAGCTGGCCCAAAATGACAGAATCAGCTTCCTTTTGGATCTCTAGACTCTACTTAAAAACTGAGAGCAACCAGGGGAATGATTAATGAAGAAGAGGCTGCTAAATTTCAGTAAGAAAGTGTCGCAGCATCTTTGCTTACCTACCTAGCATCTCCCATTCCCCAGCAGCAGCCGTGGGAACAACAGCCCACATTCCTGCTTTTGCTGGTGCCTGGGTGGGCAATACGGACCTTATTTTCAAAAACGTGGCTGTGCATTTTGACTTGGCTGGCAGTTCGCTGAGGGACTGGTACAGAGGCTAACGTTTGCTTCACCCATCCCCACCCCACCCCCCAGACTGGAGCAACTTCCCAGATGGCATCTGTTGAAAGCATTTAGAGACATATACAACGGGTAGCTGTCTGGGGCAAGGAACAGCAGATGGCGTAAGGGACAGACCAAAAAGCCTGGGAAGGAAGAGGCTGAGGAGAAAGATACTGGCAGAATAAGAGCTTTGAATGGCTACTTTGTATACTAGAGAATCCGAGCTGCAACCATGTGCCCAGGGCCACATACAAGCTCAGAAGAGACCTGGGAGGACCTCGGCTTGCATCCTTGGCTGAGCTCTGGGCTCCATGCAAGCAGGAAGTACAGGCTAAGGCAGAGTTGTAGGTGGCCTGGCAAAGCACAGCAAGAGTGCCCAGCTCAGAGCCAATCTGCAAAGACCAGAAGAGGTTTCTTTCAGGTTTTAGGTTTTTTTGTTTGGGGGAGATTTTTTATTTTATTTTATTTGGCTCCAGGTATTTAAGGAAATCTGTGTCTTGTCAGTGGCTGACTGAGATAATGGAACAGAGCCTGCACTGATGACACATGATAAGAAATACGGTCTGCAAAAAACAGTTTGGAAATGTCACCGAACAGATGACTGCAGCCCTAACAAGCAGTAACAGCAAACCTTGAGAAAGGGGTGCGGAATCTGATTTCCAGAGTTACCGCATTATAATATTCAAAATGTCCAGTTTCAGCATAAAACTACAAGCATACAAAGAAAGAGTATGACTCATTCACACACACACACATACACAAAACAGAAACCATTCCTGAGGAAGCCCAGACATTGGACTTGCTAAGACAAAGGCTTTAAACGAACTCTTAAACATGCCCAATTAGCCGAAAGATGCTGAGGACAAAGAACAAAAGGAAGCCAGGGAACAATCCACGTATAAACAGAGAATATGAATGAAGAGATAGAAATTATTAAAAGGAATTCATTAGAAACAATTCTGGAACTGAAACACAGAAGTTGAAATAAAAAATTTGAAAAGATTAACGAAACAGACAAATCCTTAGCTAGACTAAGAAGAGAGAAGATGCAAATAACTAAAATCAGAAATGAAAGTAGGGACATTACTATGATCCTTACAGAACAAAATTATTAAAAAAGCACTATAAACAATGGTACACCAACAAATTAGATAACCTAGATAAAATGGACAAATTCCTAGAAACACAAAAATTTCCAAAACTTACTCAAGAAGAAATAGATAATCTGAACAAATTTATAAAAAGAGACTGAATCAGTAATAAGAGATTGAATCGGTGATCAAAAATCTCTGCCAAAGCAAGATCAAACGGCTTTTTTGGGTAAATTTTCTGGTAAAACCTGTAAAGAATAATTAACACCAATTCTTCTCAAATTCTATCAATAAATAAATAAATAAATAAATAGATAAATAAATAAACAAATAAATAAATAAATAAAAGAAGATCAAGGCAGTAATTTGTGACACTGAAGCAGAAAGACACTTTAGAAATGACCGATGTTATATATGCAAATATGATATTGCATAACCACCAATGAGCATCATTTCAAGGTGACTCCATATCTCCATCCTGGTTTCATAACCTGTCTAGCACGTTTGTT